GTTCTAAGTTCACTTTTCAGTGATACCCGTCACAGTTGCCATATTGCGCATTCCTTGGTGATCTATTTCAGGTACAAGGCACCTGAGTACCTACTTTTTTTTCCCAAAACAAGACAGGGCTTGTATCACAAGTTGCATCACAAAGTTGAACAGTGACCTGTTGACCCAGATATCCCTAAAGACAGGTGGTGGTATGTCAATTTGATGAAGGGAGTTACGCAACATTGCCCTAACACGCTACAATTAAGCCTCAAGTACCTACCTATCTGTTACACGCTCAGGTACGTACCTGAGCGTGTAACACGAAGAACATAATCTGAAAGAGACAGTTCTCAATGTCACTAATTGTTGTTTTCAGGTATTCTGTTTCATGTTTACTATAAAACGTGTCTTTTTCGTCAACAAAACCAAATTCAGACCAATAAACTAAGTAAGATAGATTTTGTTGATTATCATATTGATATTCACTATTCCATTAATATGAGGAAACCAATGAACATAATCATCTGAGATACTTACCTTACATAACACGTTATCCTACAAAAACATGAAGCTATTTTTGTTCAATATTATTCAAGGAATTAGATACTTAAAGGAAAATCGTTTAAGGGTTATATTGAAAACTTCATACACCGCAGCTACGCGAACACCTAAGTATGCAAAGTTTTTCACGTCTGACATCTAATTTCCTTACTTGACTAACTTTCCTCGCATGTAGGTCTTTCAAGAAAAAATCAAGTAGCAAGGTAAATTATCCTCTTCTTTACAAAAGTCAACTTACGTATCATATGTTTTCAGCCCTATTACAGCTCTGAAATACGTACTTTTAGCGCGCAATTACAATAAAAGCTCACTGCGCGACTCCAAACGTTTCTGCCTCTTAGCACTCACGTGAGCTGTTTGAAGGCTGAGACGACTAAACACCGCTTCACACTGCTTTGTTACGTTCCACTTCGACTTCAAATCATTAACATGCACCTCACTACACTTAAGCTGCCTACCGCTACAGACTTTTGTAGCTAACTGCTATTTTTCAAAGCAAGTAGGTACTAATAGGTATTCTCTTAAAATAACACATTAGAAACTGGCCGAACATACTAATTTGCAAATAAATAAATATTAGATAAATAGATGTTTTGTTTTTGTTCTTCCAATTTCCAATTGCATCAAATTATAATATCTACGCATCAATTATTAAAACCTTTTTATGAGATAGGGAAAGCAAACGGATCTCCTGATGATAACTAATCGAGCCGCCTATGGGAGCCTGCAACACCAAAAGGAGCTGCGACATTTCAAGTGTGCTGCCGACCATTTTGTAAGTTATCAGGGATTTGAGGATTAAGGATGGGGAAAGGATTACTAAGGAGTTTTGGTAACGCAATTTATACGGTGAAACACAACGAAAGCATTGGTTCACGCCACCCCACGCCGGTATTCAGTGCGACTGTGGTGCTGTCGTGTTGGCTCATTCGTGCCGAAACTTGGCTTATCCAACACTTTCTGTAATTACTTTAAGATACCTACTTATAAAGACACGTTAGTACGTACGTTATTTGAAGGGAATCCTGAAAAAAGTGTATCAGCAAAAAATCATTATCTAAGTACTTGATTTGTACTCTCAACAAGTGTACATGACATTCGCAGGTACCTAATGTGATAAATAAATCATTCTCAAAACCTACGCAACGGGGTTACTTTACATATTAGGTCCTATAATAAATAATATACAATGATTTATGGGTTCATAATGTTAGTTTCTTAACAAACAAACATCCAAACATTAATGCGTTATACTTACATGATCAATAAATAAATAAATAATGAAAGTTAAATCTACTCTTAAGGTTAGGAATACTTTATACATTCTTAGTGTATCGCATTACAAGACTTATCCGTTCCGCAGGAAGCAACTAAAAATGACATTTCAGGTTGCCACAACTTTGCCAAATATTTCGGACAGTCATTTTAGAGTAACAGAAGCCACGGATATCATTTTTACCCTTAGCACAGTATAAATATCATACAGTATTTTAACTCGGCCGCTTGAAAGAAATAAATACCTACAGCCGCGCGGTACGTAAACATGCGTTAGGGCTGCTCGTCTCCAGTATTTTAATTACCTTTGTCTACTTTCTGTTTCCATTTAGTTTTGTGATTGTAAATATCCTTTTTTTATATAAACAAATAAAGTGCTTTAAAAATAAACAAACAAAATTTCTTTGGCCACTAATGCCGAACTGAACAGCTGACTACGAATGTTCTAAAATCACAACCCTCAAACATCAAAATATTACATGAGTCTAGCTGTTTTATTGTTGTTATTAAATATTTTCTAGTATTATTCATAAACGCAGATAATAAACAAATATTATTAATAATAAAATACCACACTCTCTACTTTGAATTAAACAAACTAACAAACCATACATGAACCGTTTTAACACAAGCGTAAGTAGGTAGGTAAATAACGTATGACGTCATGATTCATTCAGAACCAGAACCGCCTATAACTACCTATTTCACTCGTCTCAATAACTTTATTCATATTATTTATAAATTCAAACATCTGTTTTCGTGAGATAACTGGAAATAATGATCCATAAAGACACACATTATGTACCTACCTAGGCTACTAGTAAGTAAAATTATTTTATAGTCTTACCTTGCAGAGTTTCCAGGTAATTTAAAAAAAACTTATGTCTGGATGCGTTATTGCCGAATTCGTGCAACCAAACTTAATAACAGCACAATATTTCCTATTCGTCATATTAAATAATGTACTCGAGCTGATTTCTAAATAAAAGACAACACACCGTTCGTTCGTGACTGCGGTACAGCCGCGTCTGTCTGCGTCCCGAGCGCGTCCCGACATCGGGCGCGTAGGTATAGTTCGCGTTTCGGCCGTTTCTATGAAGTTGAAATACTTGTAGATATTATTACCTTGCCCTTAGCGACTGGTGAAAAGCAATTGGCAAAGGTTTTACGTAAATATGTTTATATGTACCTATATGTAAACACAGACCCGCTTAAGTATTTTTATGTACCTACATGTTCATAAATAGCTAGAAACTACCTACATAGGATTTTACATATTTCTTGAAAATATGTTCGATCACAAATAATGAAAAAACCGAAGATTTTGACGTAAAAAATAAAAACGAAAAGTGAAGATCCTTCCAAATACCTACTTGCTTCTTACAATATACATATATAGCAGCCACTTCGAAGGAATTCTTCTGCTAAGGATAGATAGTAGAGGGTTGGGTGTGGTTTATTTAGTGTTACTCATGCGTAACGTTTTACTTTGGTACATGAAGTAGAAAATATGTGACACAAAACGTAAGCACCTGGATACCTACTTAGGTGCCAATCTAAAAAATTTAATGATTATTCTGTGCTTATATTTAAATACCTAGTTCATAATGTATAAGACTTGCTAAGGTTTTTTTGAAAGGGGAAAATGATCAAATCACTTCTTCTATCAGCTCCTTCTCAAGGCCGAGGTCACGGTGCCTCATTGCGCTTACCCCGCAACTCCGCTTGAACATCGGAGAATTCAAACACCCTGCAAGACAATTTTAATAAGTGTGACCAATATGTTTTTTTAGATAATAACTTAATGTCATAAATAGTTTGTGTAATGAATACCTATAGGTTTATCATTAATGTATATCAAAAACTAATTAATATTTTTCCTCCATTTCACTTGAACTCGCCGTGGTGGCACAAAAACATTTATATCTACCTACATAAGTACATATTATCGTCACTGGCGCGCCTGTCTCCCATTGGGGTAGGCCAACAAATAGTAATTGAATATCCAAAGGACACGATTCTGACACAACTATACCTCTTCCGCTTTACAAATATTCTAACATGGTTAACATAATCTACTTTTAGACTTGTACACCAACATGATTATTTGACACCAAAATACTAGTAGTGACATCTGTATTCAATCGTTGGTAACAAAGTAAAGAAACTTCTCACTTCTAAAAGTCAATCTGTTTACAAATACCTAGTACTTACAAACTTATATATAATAATTCTTACTACATTATATAATTGTAATGACTAGCTTTTGTCAGCAGCTTCGTCTGGGTTATTTTTTTTTTTCGGAACGGTCACTTACTTATTTGCCCGCTATCACGCCTGTGGTAAACGATAATTAGATTTTGCGGTTGAACATACCTTACCTACCCATAAGCAACATATTTACTCGAGCCTCGAAGACACCCAGGGTATACCTTCGTGGAACATAGACACACTCCCTAAGTCCTAAGGACTTACTTAAGTGTCGGTTCGGATTATATAACTGGAGGCGTACCGCTTCGTACGTGTGTGTGAAATATCCACCATAAATGAAGCGATGACGTTTTGCCGATTGTCAAGTGGTACCATGGTGAAAAGGACTAGGGGGAACCAAGTTGTGAAGCTCTCCCGAACATTCTCCGAAATATTCTAATCTAAATTAGCCTGTTATTATTCGAGACCATAATCTAGGCTGATTATAGGCAGCACTAAGTTATGCGCGATCTGCCAGAGACTTTCGCGTTTATAAATTAGAGTACCTATATATATAATGCATCTACATCATTCCGAAACCAAGACACAGATCAACTGCTTATGTGTAGGTCAAACCTTAAACCATTCGTATAATCTAAAAATTGTTGTTCCGAGCTTGAGTGTGATATTAAAGTGTTTGGATGTGTATGCAGTTCAAACACAATACAGGAAAAATTATAGTAAAGTGCGCTTTTATTTTATACATTTTTTTTTTGTTTTTTTTTTTTCCTTTTGGCTTTGCACGGCATAGTTTTTGAGTGTAGTACCCCAACAAAAATTGACTACTAGTCTTTTTAGTTAATGTCAAAATATACTGAACGCACTGTCTGTTAATGTACACGTCTATTATTTTTTAATCAATAGCATGGAATTACAGTTTTTTTGCTCCCTTTTCCTCTTATGGTTTAAGTATATTTCTATCCTGTAGTAATGGTAAACTTAACCGTTTACTATTGAACGTTGTTTGGACCAGAAGTTGTCAACTCGAGATTGGATCGCGCAATACAACGCAATTTCTGTTTGTGTTCAGCCGTAAGTAACTGAATAATTTGTTCATTTATTTTGTACTATACCTGTATACGAGATAAGTGAAATAATATCCGTTCTCAATGCCCTACATTCTGATTAGAGGTAATTTAGCATCTTATGGGCATAAAAACCCGTGGCGTGTTTTGGTATCCGGCTTGAAAGGTAGATGTTGACAATTAAATGAAAGTAAAATGAGAATTGGAGACAAAAATACAAAGTGGGTTTAATAGTCGCCAAAATTTTAACGAATGTCCTTTTCTCATTTTATTTATTTTGTTATTAGTGTTTGTTTATGTTATTTTAGTCATAAATCCTATTTATATTCAGCTGGCGACTTAGAACAACTCAAGAGATTCGCATGTGGGGGCTACTGCGACGACTCAACTATTGTTTATTTACAACACCCTTGTGTTATTCTGAGTGCTCTAGAGGTTTGTAATTACAAATGTACTACTAAAAGATCACAATTATTAAATTACATAACAATTTACTGATTCATTCAATGTACCTGCCTAGATATGACTCATATTGTCACAGGTCTAATTAATCAATAACATTACAGGTATTGGGTTACAAGGTTGTAGCGTCTAGCTCCACAGCCGTCAAACAAGATTATAATGAGTACATGTGGACTATGAGAAAAGAATTTTCAGAACCAGAACCATCAATAATTGTTGAACAAGATAATATTAACAATTTCAGCAAAGAGGCTATGCACTTGGGTAATTACCAGCATCAGACAAAAGACGACGAAGTGTAAGCTGCCATCATATTGATAATTAAATCATTACATTCATTTTATTTTATACTATGGATACAAAGGGCAGTCAAAACTTGTCTCCATGCAACTTGGCGTCAGTACCCTTAATTGAAGAAGATGCAGTTGTTTACATTGCTATTAAAGGATCGCTACATGCAAATGATTGCTCTGTGTTTGGATTAGGAGAAGAGGAGATAAGAGCTCTTTCTAAAAAGTTTCCAGGGTCAGGAGTAGTTGTTAATGGTGTCTCCATCAAATGCAATGTACTTGAGACTCTGAACGCATTGAACCAGTTGGGTTACAAAGTAGTTTCAAGCACTGGTGAAACTGAGATCACTTGGACCCTTCAACGCATTATTTAATTTTATTACTCCATAATCTGCCCTTTGTATTATTTTTAATATTTTTTAATAATTGTATAAAGATGGACCATGGAAATAATTGTGATCACTCAAACTGTTCTCATGCAAATGCATCTGTAACTCAAACATTATCAGAAATGCATTGGGAGAGGGGCTTGTGGTATGCAGGTAATTCTATTTATTTTTTTATTATTTACCAAATCTTAATAAATAAATAATGTGTGTACAAATTATGCACTTTATCAAACTACCATTCCATGATAATTATGCACTATCTCATTTTTTACATTTTCTGATAAGATTGCCTACTTACTACCATATATTTCATAATAAATTTTGTTATTTCAGCCTTTTATGGGGATGAAGAGAGAGTAAGATCTCTAATTGCTAAGGCAGACAATGCCAAAGTAATAGTAAATACACTAGATAACTCTGGATATACACCATTGCACTATGCTGCACGTAAAGGACATGTGCACATTTGTAAGATATTACTGCAAAATGGAGCACTGATTGATGCAAAAACCAAGAGCGGACAAGCAACACCCCTTCTCAAAGCTGCTGCTGCAGGTAATTACTCATTACTATGCAGGTATTTCTATTACATACATATAAACTTTTAAAATCTCCGACATGTGTAGCAATTAAATCAAATAGGTGAACTATTATAGCTTATCAACTAATGGAGGACTGCTACTCAGTAAACAATGAAAATTTGAGATAAGAGCTGAAGAAATAATGATTAGCAATTTCATTTGATCAAATCCATTATACTAAAACACATTGTACAAATTATTGTAAAGTGATCTGAAGTAAAATTGATATATTTTTAAATTTTTTTTTTTATTTCTTTATTTTTATTATAGAGGGTTTAATCACAAACTGATTATGCCACCCTCATCGGTATAAACAAATCATTCTTACGATCTAAAACCTATCTTAACTAATTTATATAAGTTTCTTGCATCCTTTGATAGAGGTGACGCAAGAATACTGTTGCTTTTGCCAACATCCATTGAGGTAGGTATTATTGACCGACGTTCGGCCTCATTCCGGACACACTCCATCAGAATATGATATGTGTCTTCCACTGTATTACAATCCGGACAATTTGGTGAAGTAACTTTACCCATAAGAAACGCAAAACTGTTCAATGGAATGTGTCCCGATCGAAGCCGAAAAGCCATTACAATTTCTGACCGGCTGATGTTGGCTCGGTCGAACCATGTGCCTCGAGACAGTGTGGGTTGAATCGTCCGATACCAGATTCCCTTGCTCAGCGATCTCTGGTCGAAGTGCTCTTGCCACATTTTACAACTTTCTTCTCTTACTGCGTACAGAAGATCATTGGGCACAGGGAGATATGGGCAAACAAATCCAACGTTACATGCATCCTTTGCCAATCGGTCTACTATTTCATTGTCCTCCAAGCCAACATGAGCCGGAATCCATTGAAGAATAATTTTAATTTTCTTAGAAATAAGCTTATTTAATAATTTAATCACATTATATGCAATCGGAGTGCCTCGAATATTTGTGGTACACCGAATTAAATGCTGCAGGGCGCTCTTTGAATCACAAAGTATAACATAATTGCCGCTTTCAAATGAGTCAACGTACGATAATGCTTCTTCTATTGCAACTAGTTCTATATACATAATGTTACATCTTGCGTTGACCTTTAATTGCACTCCCGTTTTAGTTTGTGGGTCAAAAAACGCCGCTCCAGCACCTATATTATCTTTGGATCCATCTGTATATATTTTATAGAAACCCGAGTAGGTGTTCATTAAAATCATAGTACATAAATCAACAAGTTCAGTATTTTGATAGTGCTTTTTAGCCGAAACCAGACCATCTATTTGGGGAAACACAATTTGAGACAGATCTACTTTATTCACCCAGGTACTCATTGAAAAAATTTCAATCATCGGGCTTGTGTAAACAGAAAGTGGATCCAAAGATTCGTGTATTTTAATTAACAAAGGCATTTTTCTTTTCCAGTGTGAATGTTGACAAGATACTTGTAAATCCTTTATAACGGCAATGATGTTATTATCCGCGTATGATTTTATTTTAAGCCAATATTTACCCGCCAGATAATATCTTCGAAGTTTCAAAGGCGTCAGGTTCAATTCATTTTCCATAACATGAATGGCTGTAGTTCTAATAAAGCCACCGATAACCCTCATGGAACTGTTTTGGACCCTATCTAGTTTACTAAGGTGTGTTTCACAACTGCTATCATAGAGGAAAGAAGCGTAATCGATTCTGCTTCGAATTGTTGTTATATATAACCGCCTCAGATGCTTAGGATGTATTCCCCAACCAGAACCCGACAGAACTTTAAAGATATTTAATAATTTTAACACCTTTGCCCGGGTCTCATTGATATGTTTAGACCACCTAAGTGATCTATCTAGCCAGACTCCCAAATATTTTACATTGTGTACCACTGGCAGCAATACCTCATTAATTTTTAAATTGACAGTCTCTTTTGCAACACCATTCTTAAAAATACATACGCTAGTTTTGTTAGGAGATATCTCAAGACCTAATTGAATAACAGTTTATATATTTTGTTTAAAGCGGGTTGTAATCTTTGCTGGGCTGAGAAGACATCACTGCAAGTGGTATACAACACAAAGTCGTCCGCATATTGCGACAAATATACATCCCTACTACCACTATTACAAATATCCATAGTTGCAATGTTGAAGAGTAATGGTGACAGCGGATCACCTTGCGCCAATCCCCGACTAGATGTACGACTTATAAGTTGGTTACCTATTGAAATTTTGAGGTTTCGAAGCTTGAGGAAATTCCAAATGTAACTACAGATCCTTGATCCCATACCAATTTTCTGCATGATTTTTAGTAGGCTTTTGATATCTACGTAATTATATGCGTTACTTATATCTATGAAAACAGCCGTTGTAATACATTTTTTCGAGAAACCAATTTGAATTCGGGATACTAGGACGGTCAAATTATCCACAGTTGAGCGACATTTTCTGAACCCTGTAGTGCTATTTGACAGGAGCTTATGTTTTTCTATAAACCATTCTAATCTATTCATTAAAATGTTATGAAAAACCTTACAAACGCATGAGATCATTGAGATAGGACGGAGAGATGATAAACTTTGGGCGTCTCGTCCCAGCTTAGGGATTGGCACAATTACAATATCGCGCCATTGCTTAGGTACAAAACCAGATGTTAGTATCTTATTATATAACTGGATTAAAACCTTTTGACAATTTTGAGGTAACCTCTTAATCATGGAGTATGAAACATTGTCGGCTCCGGGCGCTGTATCTTTCGACCGGATACATTTTTGAAATTCTGATTTGGTTACCGGTACTTCAAGTTCCGGATTATTTATGTCGAAAGTCATGTCATTCGGGGATACAAAGTCTGGCGTTAAACTAAAAAGTAACTCAGTAGCTTTTTGTTCATCTACGTGGTGGTTTGAAAATTTATACCCCTTAAACCATCTCATTGTTTGCCATACGGTTGATTGAGATGTCAAACCGTCTAATGAAGAACAGAAGTCGGCCCACCCTTTACTTTTAGCTATTCGTATCAATTTTTGAGATTCGCGAATTTTACTGTGTATGAATTCATAATTTTGGGGGGTTGGATTACGCCTAAATTTAGACAACGCTAGCCGGCGTTCAGCCACACATTTCGATAACTCAGGCTTCCAATAAGGTTTAGGTAAAAAACTACTATCGGGGTTGGGGTTTATCTTAATTAGAGGGATATGAACATCAGAAGCCAATTTTATGTAATCAATGAAGGTGTCATAGTCAGTCTGTAAGTCTCCGGAGAATGTATAATTTGAAAAGAGGATGTTGAGTAGCTCAGTGTATGCAGTCCAATCAGCATTTTTGAAATTTTTGCGAACCTTTGTTGGGGATACAGCTTGGATGTTTGAAGAGATTTTAATAACCCTGTGGTCACTGCCTAGTGTCTCATTCATAACTGACCAGTCGAACTGCAGTGCGATGTCAGATGATACCACAGAGATGTCAGGTGAGGACTTTTGCCATTCCAAATTAACCATTTTTAACCGAGTAGGATCGCCGGTGTTTAAAGTAATAAACTGATTGTCTGTTAATGCTTCAAAAATTTGTATACCCCTACTATCTACTCTATTTGACCAATTAGAATGATGCGCATTAAAATCACCTAGAATTACCGTGTTTCTTGGAGCAAAAGAAAAAAGGGCATCCCAATCATTTTGGGAAGTTCTTATGGAAGGGGGACAGTAAATAGACACAATATTTTGTATCGGTCCACAGTTAAATACTTTTAAACAAATAAATTCTATACCTTGATTACTGAGTTGGACTTCATACAGCTGAGATCTTATAGATTTATGAGTAAGAATTGCAACCCCCCCGTAGCCATCAAACCTGTCCTTCCGGAAGATTGTGTAATTGCTCAGCCTCATATCAATTTCATTCTCCAGCCACGTCTCACTAATCGCAGCAATGTGTATGTGTTCTTGGTTCAGCAATTGTTCCAACAAAATTAATTTAGCTTTTACGCTTTGAGCATTCCACTGTATCATATTTAGCTTAACGTTAGGTTTATGTTTGTCCATTGAAAAGTTCAAATAATTTCTTCACAATATTCCAATCCGACACGTTATCAACTACAACTAAGATCAGCCATTCTAAACAACATTGAATTGCCATCCGAATTTTTTCCCCTATCGCGCATCTCTTCAAAAACAGTATATTTTTCAGTCTAGTTAACAGCTCATCAAAATTGACTTCTTTCTTTTTAGAGTCTTCGGGGTCGTGCTCCAGTTCTTTCGTTTCTCCCGTTTCTGTTGGTAGCCAGTTTGCCCAATCATCACCTTTATCAACCCTTGTCTTCTCGTGTTTTTTAGTACGTTGTTGGTCTATGTGAGTGCGTGCCTTATGAATGGTAGCTTCCGTTTTTACCACCTCAGCATACAGAGGTGAGCTTGGTGATTTTACGAAGCTAGCTTGGTCATCAGAAGTTACACATGTGGGCGTGAGCTTAGTTTTAAGTTTAGGGAATACGCCATCTGTGGGAGAGGATTTATTGAATTCCTTCTCATGTCTGCGTGGGGAAGGTGCAACATACAACTGTAAGGCTTTCCTGTATGTGCAATTGAACTCTGCCATTAGACTTTTAAGGTTCTTTTCCTTCACAAATGCGGGGCAAGTTTTAGAGAGTGCCATGTGTGGCCCTTCACAATTTAAACATTTAAAATGTTGTGTGTCGCAATTTGCATGATTACTACCACATTTGGGGCATAATGTCTTTTTAGATGGACACACTCTCACTGTGTGGCCGAACTTCCAACAACGAGAACATTGTGAGACAGGAAAAACAAATGGTTCCACCTTAATCCTTAAACTGTCTGCATAAATGTAACCTGGTAACATATCACCTTTGAAGCACAACCGAACCGCTTCACTCGTTACCCACAAACCTTCCGGCGAGTCATTATTACTGCGCCTCTGTAGCCGCTTTAATGAAACCAACTCAAAGTTTTCAGGACAAGTTATGCAGCTCATTAGCTGTTCATCAGATAGGTCAAGATCTACGTCTTTAATCACACCGTACGAATAACTTTTAAAATCTGGCCTGCTAAATCTCCAGTCCATATCCATGAAATCTTTACAAGTTTGTAGTTTAGTGGCACTCAACTCGTTTTTACAATCGATGCGCACTCTGTAGTTATTTAAGTATTTTACTTTTATTATATCTGTGATATCTTTTTCTTTAAATAGTCTTGCAAGTGCGAATTGCCTTGGTAACTTCTCTTTTGATGAAATATAAATTTCAATACAGTTTTCTTTGGTTTTTTTCCCTTTGCTTTGAACCCAACCCTCTTCTTCCTCTTCTCGGTCTCGCTTTTTCGGTCTTATCATTTCTTCATTTGTTATCACGTCCATATTAAATTGCTCCTCAATATCCTGTTCCGCCACAGATTTGTTACTGCTAATCGAAGCACTCCTTGATTCAAAATTATCGTTAAAAAGTTCTTTACTATCCACCATTGTAAACAAACGATCCGATACTCATTATATTAACTAACAATGCGCTAGACCGATTCAAGGTCAAGCCCGTCGCTCGAGAGTAAATAACTCGATAACTAATGAGATATAGATAAAGTTTACTGCACGCGTCCGTACGAAGCGAATACCGCTGCGAAACTGATATTTTTAAATTGTTTCAGGTAAAATTGAAACAATAAAATTTCTTATTCAATCCGGGGCTTGTGTTGATGAACAAGATGCTGATGGGCAAACCATACTTCATAAAGCAGTAGAGAACAAGCACTTTGATCTAGTGAATTTTTTGATGGAAACATATCCTAAGCTCAACACCATGCAGGATGTTAAAGGTAATCACCCTTCTGATTATATGTCTGGTTCGAAGGAGTGATACACAAGGAATGGCTTAAATGTATTAATCATTACACACCTATATTCTAGATCATATTTCTAGTTGAGTGTTGATTCTGTCTAAATTTTAATATAATATTAAAATTTATTTATCCTTAGATTTATTTGCATTGCAAATAGGATGTTATTGTATGTATATTAGGTTTTAAAATGTGCTATATCTTTTGCTGTTATTAATATTTCAAAATGTTTATATTATGTTACATTCCCAATTTTTTATTTTTTGTTTTGTCATATTGATAAAATTAGCCAACTTGATATGTAATTGTGATTTAAATAAGTTAAAAGTTGCCATTAGAAGTACTCACAAAAAAAGTATTTGTCTAATGTAGTAGTTAACTATTTTAACACTCTACAGTTATTAATTATTTAGTCACTAATCACAGTTTTGTCATTATGATGTTTATGACAAACAGTATAATGATTACTATTACTACTGTTGGAAATGGTATAGATTAAATTATTGAAAAAATAATATTTTGTTAGTTTCTAATCTAGATGGCTCACTTTTGTACCAACTTTTATATATGGATTTCAGAATTTGATTTAATGTGGGTAGTAAAACTCATGAATTTCGTATGTATGTACTTTATATTAACAACAGAATAGGTATGTTATAATTTACTCACCCTGTGTATAAGTAGGCTTAAAAGCAACTTAATGTTGCCTTATTATATGTATTATAAGTATCAGAATTCATATCATTTATATAATTACTAATTGTATTAATACATGTCTTAGTTTAGGACTAGATTCCTACTTCAAACAATTCATATTATTTGAACATTGTCATAGTTGTCGAAGGAAATAGCTGCTGATCAGTATACATAGTATTGCCTGCAGAATTCCATGACATAATACTCAACAAATAAGAATAAAAAACAACCTATAATCGTATATTTACTGATTGGTTTGTAAGTACATGATTCTGCAGCTGATTCCCTACATTGTTACATGTGTTTTTAAAAAACAAGCATTACTTCTTACTGCTAGGTGTTCTAACAATTGCAACTCATTTTGAAGATTTTATGGACAAACATATTGTGTCACACTAAGTATAGTTATTCTAATCAACAAATATTTTGTATTTTACCCTAAGTACACCTTTGTACTACTGTGTAATTTTACTAAATAAAAATGCATATAGATAATGTTGATTTTATCTAACTCCAGGATTTCACTCACTTTATAAGATATAGAAAAGCTACTGTTTACTACAATATTCAATTATGCCATAATTAGTTTGTTTGACTGCAGATAATATGCTATGAATGCAGTTATAGTACCAACACATATTTACACTGTTTATGCAGTAAAATTAAAGTATTCTGTACCTTCGTCTTCCATCATAAGATATCTTTTTAAACTCTTTGGAAGAGGCAGGGAATATATGAAATGGTACAATGTTGTTGATGCACATTGGCCTAAATATCTAATTCTAATTCTACAGAGATCAGAAAGAGTAAGTGGTTCCCTACAAATGTTATATAACCAGCACTTTGTATAGTCTGATGCTGGCAGTGATGTATCTTTATCTGGGATTACGATGTAATGACCTGCCTTCAATAACATTAATGCTAAGCTACTCGACCTTCTTCTACTAGCTATAGATAAATTGTCTAGACCACAAGCATGTAAATCACAAGCATTTACATCTGCGCCATACCGAATAAGGAGAACTGCAGCAGGATCTCTACAACAAAAATTTACATTTTAGTGATTGACATAATTTAAACAAAATATCTCCTAAAATATTATGAGAGATACAAAATATTCGGAAAATAGTATAGTATAGCCTGAAACTTACTTGTGTAATAACAGAGCCCTGTTTAAAGCAGTGTCACCTGTTAGAGCGGAGGCATTCAAATCAATCTTGTAATCTATTAAACATTTCAGCAATTCTTCAAAATCTTCATGGGAATCTACACTTTCAACAGCTATGTGCAACGCATTAGCACCTGTTATACTGTTTAACAAATTAGCGTTTGCACCTGCAACATAAATATATTACCAAAATATATAAACATTATCATCATCATTAAAACCTATTATTTTAGAACAAGTAAACAATTTCAGAAATAGTTTTACACACATTGCAATGACATACCTTTACATAACAATATTTTAGCGATTGCGGGTTGAGATAGGCGTACCGCCAAAAGCAGTGGTGTATCACCATTGTCATTATACAAGTTTATCCCTGCACCATAAGCTGTAAGCATTTTTACTATTTCCATCTAAAAAAAAACAATGTTTGATGTATCAGTTTTCGCTAAATTTTGTTTGATATTATTTTTTATTGTCCTTTGAAATTGTGTCAATAATAATTTATAGAGAAAAAGATATATCAAGAGTAACTTACCTGTCTTTGAATTATTGCATTATGCAAAAGCCTATGTGAGTGAGTGATTCTAGCACCAGATAACAATAAAACTTCTACGCCCACAGCATACTTTTGCCAAACAGCTTCGCAAAGAGGTGTATATCCTAAAAAAAATGTGGTAATTCTGCAAATATTGTATATATAAACCCAATCTCATCATACTCAATTTATTATACTACTATTAATAAATATTAATTTACCATGGATCTCTTCACTATTCACATTAGCACCTGCATCAATCAGATATTTCATCACATCCGTGTGCCCCCGACCAGCTGCTATGTATAATGCTGTTCTTTCATTAGCATCTCTTGCTTCTAAACTTGCACCATTACTGACTAGAAGTTTTACCTAAAGAAGAATTATTCTCATTAGGTTTCATTTTTTTATACAGTATAACTTATAGATACAAGTAAAGAAAAAAACTGTATGTATATAAAAATGAATGCCTGGACCAATTTTCTAAATTATTTTTTGCTGTATTTGTAAATGTCAGGAGAAGGTTCTTATGAAAGATTAAGGATAAGTAGAGGGAAAACAGTTGCAGCTGTTTCGTCGTTAGTGAGGTACATGAATACCTATGCGAAGCAAGGGTGTATCGAAAGTTTGCAATAAAAAAAAAGTTATCTTACCAACTCTAAGAAACCTCTTGATGCTGCAAAATGCAAAGGTGTCATACTGTCATAGGTTTTGTGATTGACATTGCTTCCAGAATTTATAAGTATTTTCACAATATCTATATAATTTTTAATAACTGCAACATGTAAAGCTGTCACACCATCTCCAGTCTCAGCATCAATTTTACACCCTGTAAAATATGGATATTAAAATTAAAATATTATATGGATAATTAATTAGCAACATATCTACAGTACTAGGCCAATTACAATACGTAAATCTTGTAAAGTCAGTTTTAACAAATCCTTACCTGCTTCTATCAACAATTTAACAACACCTACATGACCCTGTTCTGCAGCATAATGTAGTGGGGTGTGCATAAATGCATCATGCTGATCAATTCCAGCGGTAAACATAGCTGAAGCTGAAGCAATGGCTGCCCCTGTAGACTCCAGTATAGCAGCATACCATCTGGATTGGAAAATTAAAACATGTCTATGAAGAAACAACAAACATTGTTCTGGTCAATTGAACACTGTTTTTATTAATTCCTAAAATTATAGTCTTTCACATTTTATTACTAACTTATACATAGAAGTCCAGGATTCATCTTCACTTGTAGTTGGTGCAACATTTCCTATGTCTTCATCCCATTCTAAATCTTGTGGAGATGGGGTTAAAGGTGAAGGTGTCATGGGAGATTTCAAACTCCCGATTTTACTCTCATCACTACTGGATCCATCACTGTGTGTAAACACAAAGTACCCCTGATTGGTCTCAGTTTTTTGACTACCTTTGACTTTAGTCTCTTGCCCAAAATTTAAATCTTTAAAATTTCTATCATTCATGCTTTTACATTTAACAACAGTCTCATCCTGAGGCCCATGATGTCTCAACTTGCGTTTATGGCACTTCATTTGTCTCTTCTTAGGGGAACCTACATATGGTACAGGCACTTTTTGTTTAGAGTCACTAGCTTTTATTAAAAGCTTTACAATGTCAATATTTCCGTTATTTGCAGCTTCACCCAAACTGGTTTTACCTTGTACGGTAATTGTATTAGGATTAGCACCTGCAATGACAAATTAGTAGTTGTTATTTCCATTTCTACCAAATATTTACAAGTATTGAAAATGGGAATGCTCAGTTTCATCAAAAAATATTGCATATAAATCTCTTACCTTTGGAGAGCGCTCGCGAAATTGCCTCCAGATCTTCGGCTAGTACTGCGCGATATAAACTTTCCTCAAAAGATCCCATGACGAGATAAAAATATATAACAATAAGCACTAATGATTACATTCCTAGAAGATCAAGTGTGGTATCCTACCACTTAAATAATTGCTGAAAATTGCTCATGGTTCATGGTATGGCTAAAAATTCATGAAAATAATCAATAATAATGTAGTCTCTTAAATTTAAGTGTTTTTTGTATGATATCCATATCATTCGTTGTGAATTTATTGTATTAGTAGATAACAGCACACAGAATACTTTATTCATACGCAGTATAACAAATTGTTGTTATTTATTATGATCGTGCAGACTTCTGTGACATTTATGATTGATTTTCAAACATCTCAATTTTAATTATAATTTTATTATTTGTCAAATTACTTGTGTTGTCAGAGTAAAATATTAACAAAATTAGGCATAAAACTATTATTACAGTATATTATAACTATTATTAGTAAAACTACTGACTAATATTGAAAACTACTGTCTGGATACAACAACGTACACATAAAAACTAAAAGTGTGCAATAGCCACGCTTGGATACGAATAAGCAGGCTCTCAACTGTGGTGACACCAAAGCTTCACAGACAACCAGAGTAGAACAACCACAGTTGTTACTTTTTTCGCTGTATGAGTGAAGACACTCAAGCTTTCCCCTCAACCCATCCCTGCCCAATCCCTAAATGGCCAAAACCCCTCACTCAAAGGACATTCTTTATTCTGGTAGTTTTTTGTAATGGCAGCCCCACAACTATATTTTATCTTCATCAAAACCACTTCTCTCTGTTTAATTATCTGTGACTGACCACTTCAATGTTGTTTGGATTGCACGCTTACCGTTATATTAATCATCGTTATTGATAACTACATTCAAAGGAGTGTCAAGTTGTTGCCTTTATTAAGATCATTTCATTGTTTTTACTCGAAGAACTTCAAATTAATCAGCCACTATGTCGAGTACATCACAAAAACACAGAAACTTTGTTGCTGAGCCTATGGGAGAAAAACCTGTGACTGAGCTAGCTGGCGTCGGTGAGGTATTGGGAAAGAGACTGGAAACGGCGGGATTTGACAAGGTTTGTGGGTATTCAATGCTCAGTAGTATCAAAGTGCTTAAAAATATATAATAGGGCTATAAATATTTGATAAAGCAGCATTTAATGAGCTAGGTAATGAGATTTAGTAATTGTACCGGTTTCTTTAATGAATAATTCTGCTTTCAAGGTACTAAGATTATAATTGTATAATTATTTAAGTAATTATTGATTGATTGTTTATCTATTTGCTTACTTCCCGATTTTTAAGAACACCCTTCAATAAAATTAATTGCTTGCATTACACCACAAAGTCTAATCTAGGTTATATGTGGCCCTACTTCTAGCTCTTTATTTTTTAACTAAAATGCGCCCATAAGACGACCCACTAACCGAAATTTGATATAAATAAATAAAACATCATTAATTCTAGTAGAAATATGGTATTTTTACATGGATCAAAATTAGTTGTGAATGTGTGAAAGGTAAACCCTATTATAATATAATTATTTTTGAGGAAACTATTGCAATGTTACTGTTATGAAGAGATTGTTTGTTAGCTTGAGCAAGCCAACCTCTGGAACTACTTGTTTAACATTTTACTATGGCCTATTGGTGTTGAGCTGAGGGTGAAACTGCGCAGCAGTTGCTAGTTGGAATAAGATAGGGATAATTTAGAAATAAATTAATTCTGCTATCAAATAGTTTTCCATTTTCAAGAACAATATGATATTTATTGTAATCTAAGCTTTCATTCATTATATTGTATTTAATTTTTTTTACAGGCCTACACGGTGTTGGGACAATTTCTGGTTTTAAAGAAAGATAAAGAACTTTTCCAAGAATGGCTGAAGGACACATGTAATGCTAACTCTAAACAATCAGCAGACTGTTATCAGTGTTTGAAAGATTGGTGTGATGAGTTTTTGTAATAATAATCTCAGTACATAATAATTTAAATATATAAATAACATTCTTACATTTTTAAGATAATGTAAATAATATATCTAATAATTTGTAATTACACATAAGCAATAGGCATTGCCTATATTTTTTATGTAATTTTTCATTTATTAAATTTGTACTAAAAATTGTTTTTGGTCTGTTAACTGTTTCCTGAACTTCCCTGAAGCAAAAAATCTGACCTGGTAGGCTTTTCACTGCCTTCACCTTATGAATATGTATCAAATTCTCTTCTTTTAGAAGAAATATATGTATTTCTATAGAGAGATGTTAATTTGCGTTTGTTTTATAGGCCTACCTACTAATGCCATAGACAGGCCGCCCTTTTCCTTACAGAACGTTACCTGAATAATAACAAGCAAAATCGCGATGTATCAATAAAAGCACGGCAATTAAAAACGTAATGAACTTCTGCAGTGTTTTAATCATTCAACATTTTGGATTAATGTATCTAAATTCAGAAAGCAGGTTTTTCTCAACTTTGAAACTTATACCTATGCCAAAAGATGCCCAATCTAATGCACCATCGATATTACAACAACAATCACTGTTGTGGACAAAACGAGAAAAATTATAATATGGTCGAAAAACTAAACACATTAAAGCTAAAGCTACCAAGACCAGGCTAGTGCACTTCGTAATATTTTCTTTATGTATGCCTGTATGCCTCGACTTAGAACGGACGCGAGAGTTCGAGATAACTTCATTGGCGACACGATGGTGCGCAGCCCAAGTAGGGCATTCCCTAAGACGACCCACTGACCGTAATTTTGGTGTGGTTTATGAACCTAGCTTCACAGGACACTGTTACTGGTCACTGTTCGTAAAATCGGTCAGAAGGCATTGTTGTGAGAATACGACACTTCTTATTCTTTCATCACTATTATGCATGCAATTAATGTGAAAATAATTTGATATAAACTTACAGCAAAATACGTTGATAATTAACATATTTTGTGTATAATTATCATTTATTGATAATTATCAAATATCTCGTGAAACCAAGGCTTTATTTACCTATATATCCGCAGCTGTTTGATTTGACCCACAAACTATAGAAGTTTTCATTTGCTGTCATTTATATTTTGGCACTCATACTCTAGTCTAGTTTGTGGTCTATTTATTTTTGGAACTGGAAGTCCGTGAAAATCGAGGATTTTACGTTTTTGTACGTTGTTATTCAGATATTGGCATTATTATACCATATATATTTGTGATCTATTCAAGTATTTTACTGTGACTTTGTTAAGTGTAATCAATACTTTAACCGTGTAATACAATTTATGATTTGACACCAACACTTCCTGTTATTTCTGTGAGCTGTCCAAAAAATATTTCAATCTGAAGCAATTCTCGTGCCTCATTAAAATATTTACTTGGTTATTGTAATTGTGGCTGTATTTGGAAATATTTATTATTAATGTAACCCGTAACCACCAACAACCGTGCCTTATCCATAAATGTAAACCTTCTCATTAATTAGCATTCAACTATTCTGATTGGGATTTCTTTTTCCGTTCTAGAACTTAGAACATGGTGCTAGAAAACAAATAAAATGTCAACCGAAAATTGCTTGGTGAAAGCAATTTATTCTTTCAAGGGTAAAAATAACGACGAGCTATGTTTCAAAAAAGGCGATATTATAACTGTTACTCAAAAAGAAGAAGGAGGATGGTGGGAGGGAACTTTAGGCGAGACTACTGGCTGGTTCCCGAGTAACTACGTAACTGAGCATAAAGGTAACTACAAGGCACAAAAACATGTATATATATGTTAATTCATTAAATTAGTTAATTGTAAACCCAAAACACAATAAGTTTTGTAGTTATTATATTGCTATGTTTGTCACAATTCAGTTTAGTTTTTGTTTGTAATTAGTAAAAAGCATCTATTGTATGTTATCAATACATTTTATCACAAACAGATCCATCAGGTAGTGTGACAACTTCCCCTATAAGGGCAGCATCAGAAATTCAAGCATTCAGAAATGTAGTTCTCAAAGATATAATTGACTCTGAGAAGGCTCATGTAGCTGAAATGCAGGGACTTGTCAGCAATTTCTTGCAGCCTTTGGAGAAAAGTGACATGTAAGTCTATTCTTAATTCATTTTTAAAACATAGTCTTAAAGTGTGTTCTTAAAAAAATTGTTGAGAATAATTTCATAAAAGTTAATTGTTTGTTTTAAGGCTGACAAGGGATGAATTCAAGCAGTTAACAGGCAATATAAATGAGGTGCTTCAAGTACATGAACAGTTTCTGGCATTATTAGATGAATGTGCCACAAAGACCGGGCCTGATCAAAGAGTAGGTGGTCTGTTTTTACAATGGGCTCCAAAAATCAAGAGTGTACATCAAACTTATTGTGCTGGCCATCCAAAGGCAGTCTGTATTCTTGACAAATACAAGTAAGTATTAGTTCTACTAAAAATAAACTATTAAATGATGTATAAAACAATGGCAGTTTTAAACCTATAAAAGCAAGAAGCTAAGATTTGATGTGCAGAATGTATTTGAATTAATAATTATTGTTATCTTTAGGGAAGAACTGAATACATGGATGGAAGAAGCTGGTGCAGTGTGTCCTGGAGTGCTAGTCTTGACAGCTGGCTTGTCAAAGCCATTTCGGAGGTTGGGAAAATATCCTGCAATGCTGCAGGAGCTGGCAAGGCATGTGCATGAAGCACACCCTGATAGGGGTGACACTCACAGAGCATCTGTTGTGTACAAGGATATTGCTGTATGTACAACATTATATTATATACATACAACATAATATTACTCTATATATTACCCAAGGGTAAATTTAATAAAATTTTAGCAAAAGTGAAAACTTATGTTACTTCTTTATCCTTGAGCAGCCCCACTGTTTTGTTCATGATGATTAACATAAAAGCTGTGTTAATCAATGTTATATGCTCTGATATTTTTCTCAACCACCAAACTAAGTAAACTAATACTATTTATATTTAGAAAGAAACTTATCACATAAAATTTTCAGAGTGGTTGTGCAGCGTTAAGGCGACAAAAAGAGTTAGAGCTTCAAGTGGTTACTGGTGAGGTTCGAGGCTGGCCAGGTGGTGAACTTGCATCTCTTGGTGATGTCTTGCATATGGGCAGTGTAGCTGTCGGCCCCTCACACCAAGACCGCTATCTTGTACTCTTCCCCTCAGCATTACTCTTGCTTTCAGTAAGCAAGAGGGTGTCGGCATTTGTATACGAAGTAAGTTTAGTTTAAATTTTGACTAAACCTAACAGTAAATTTCATAATTAAAAAAATAGTGCCTAATTATCATATTTTACAGGGTTGTCTTCCACTAACTGGCATCACAGTCTCTAAACTAGATGATACAGATACCAGAAAGAATGCATTTGAAATAAGTGGACCAATGATAGACACGATTGTAGCTGTGTGTCAAACAAGGGCTGAAGCTGACAACTGGGTCAGTCTTTTACAGAAACACTCTAACACCAGTAGCCCTGCTCATGAGCCTGGACAGCCGCAATCGCTGCCACATGTAAGTATCGCTTATAAATGTTACCTAATTTGCAAAACATTCTTGAACGCGTTTAATAGCCACTAGAACTAAAATATATTTTGTTTACACACAAGACTAAGGGTTTATTTTTGGTTATATAGCTGACCCGCTCTCCTTCTGAAGGGGCGTTGTCTAGCATCAACTCTAGTCGCCGCAGCCTTTATCACGTCACGTTGCCACCACCTAGCTACCCTTCTGCATCTCCTTACTATTCGCTAACGAAATATTTTGCCAGACTTGTAAAGAAAAAAGTTATCACGAGACAGATGTTACGTAAACTTCTACATGAAAGAACATGGGCTAAGGCTTTCGAGTTAACCGGATTACCTGTCAGAAGAAGACATAAAAACCACATACGCTTAAAAATAGAAAATGATGGCACAATTGGCGCTGACGCGGATTATTCTGACAGTGATGACAGCGATAGAGAAACAGATGGAACTGAATCATACACAAGTTCTAGCTGCACTGACGCAGAAGCTGTCAATTGCTCAAAAATTTTGAGACAGAATGCTATGGAAAGTCCGCGGACAATATCTTCATGTAGTAGCTGGGGTAGTAACTTTGGTTACGTGCGTTATTATGACAATAACGCCTCTGATATGCATTTGGATGAAACACAAACTGTCAGGGCCGATTGTACACGTGATCTGTTTGAAGGAATTTCTATTGGCAGTAAAAAACCACACAACACCATAAATACCATTGACAGTGGTCAAAAATACCAAAAATCTTCTTTAGGAGGAGGAGGAGTTAACAATATGTATGCTTTTGCCCCACATTCCGAAAGTACTCAGAATTCCAGCTTCGAAGTGAGAACCTATATGGCCTGTGAAGATTTAGTTAACATGGACCAAAGTACACAAATTGACATACTTGGCAGTGAAGAAAAGGATTTTTTGCCAACTAGAAGGAGTTTTCCAAATGTTAGCGCTAAGAATGAAACAGTTACGAAACTCTGGAAATCTACAGAAGAAAGTTACACACCTGAAGAAGAAAGTACTGACGAACAGCTAACGTCTGATGTGTTACAACTGTTGGCTCCACCGTCACCGAAACAAAGTTACAGTCCTATAGAATCTATAATATTGGATCCGCCGCCAATGTTTAGAAACGAGGAGGAAAACATGAAGATAATTAATGTTAACCTGAACACTAACGTGCCGTTCCGAAAGCATTCACTCAATTCAGATAAAAGAATAAGACGTTCGATGTCAAGGTCAATGGTAGAAACTGAGAACTATCACAGAAATGAAGATGACAGGTTGCACAGGATGAGCTCTCAATCAGAGAATCACAAAATGCATAGAAAATGTGAATGTTGTAACAGATCCGTGTGTCCCAGCCCTCGATCTTCGGACTCAGGTGTAGTTGGCAGTTGCAACTTAGCTTCACCAGAATTAAACATGCACGAATACTCAAGCTCAGGTACCACAGGGAATGAATCTGATAGTCACGACAAGAGCTGTGATCATTCAAAAAGTTCTTTAACCAATTTATCACAGGCTAGTTTTGATGCCGACCATAGGAAAAAAGTTACGTTATCTGAAATAGAGGCCGCCACATATGAAGATCAGTGCAGGTGTACTTCGCCATTTGGATCGACAGCTAGAACTTCGTGTGTTACAAGTGTCACTTCGGAGAACAGCCTCGATGTCATGGATTCATCAAACATGAATGTAACGTCTACGTTTACTGCACCACCGACAGTACCGACAACACAGATAAAACGAACTTCCATTAGAAGAAACATCGAACGTTACGTGCCAGAGATCAGACTCAAACCTGAACCTCCACCTAGGGTGTACAGAAAGCCTAGCACTCACATAGAAATTCCTAAGAATGTACGTCAACCGATCCCCTGTCAGTGGAGTACTTTGAATATAACAGAAAAATCTAAGCCTAGCCTACATTACCATATGCGTATTTATCGTGAAACTCCAGAAACGAATAACATGCAAAGGCAGTCGCGGGCCAACGCGCCACGCAATCGAGATGTTTTTAACAAAGAAAACTTACAAAGTATGAATGAGAATAACTTGCAAATGCGCAAGGCGAGGTCTCGTAGTGAAGACTTGTCAAAAGTGCAGAAGGGTTTAGCTGAAGCCCAAAGCGGCTTTGTGGTGTATCGTTCAGATTTGTACGCACACTGGTGGATGAAAGCAAAGTTACCCATTACCGTGGTCACCGACTCAGGCAAGGATTATTCTTTTGTAAAGAGCTACTGATTTGTGTCACTGGTTTGAAGATAATATTGCCTTGAGGATTTGTAACCATTAGATTAATACTGTCATTAGAGTTACCCCAGTGTTGCAGTGCTTTACTTGATCATCCTTGCCTGTGTTTATTCATCATACTAACTTAAAACAATCATGCAAGTAGATCTCATGTAATTATACTAACCGATTAAGATGAAAATATTGCATGGTAAGGCTTCAATGACCTATTTCCTCACGCCAATATCTGGACACACATTGAACAACCCAGTTTTTAAATACATAAGTACTTTGGTTCTTAAACCCATTTGAACTGGGATAAGGAGTACGACATTGTCGGCAGATAATTACACAAATGCAGATGTTTGACACTGTGATGACGAGGCAGCTGGCGATTTTCCGCTAGATAGATTTGCTTAATTACGATAATTGAAAAATTTTGAACAAGTACTGCTAAAAAACTTGTAAATTATTTTAAAACTACTCGCACAAATGTATCTACTTGCTAACTCCACAGTTTTATTTAATCTCCTTGTACAAATGAAGTTAAGTAACAAGTTTTATTTTTCACAGATGGCCATGAGCGACAGCAATAACTCTGATTTATCGTCTGGTCTAACAAACCATAAAAGATCACATTCATTCAACAATCATCAAAGCTACACACAACATACGCAACAAACGCAAAAAAATAAACAAAAGAATCAGTCTGCGCGCTGGCTCTTAAATTCGTGTGACTCTCTTGACCAATCACCTGCTAAGTCAAACAAAAGTCCTATCGGCAAAAAGTTTTCATCTGTGGATTTCATCGACACGGCTGGCTCAAACTACAGCAATAAAGGTAATTTATTATTTACCACATCTGTGATCTTAAGACAAATTAGGTATGAAGATATTATTTAAATTAATTCATCACTGGTAGAGGAGGATCCAAATAATTAGTGTGTTTTCTAAGAAAATGTCATTTATATTTAACATGTTTCAATTTCCAAAAAATATAACATGTTAATGACATTGTATAACAATAACGCCTCGTTGATAACCAGTACCTGTTTCAATATTTTTCTAGATGTTAGTAGAAAATAAGATTTGAGTACTTACTGTAATATTTCGTTTCATGCACACGTAGGGTGGAGCATAACATGTTTACGGCCAGCACCGCCTCTCAGACCGCAATCATTCACGGTCGGTTCCGACGAAAACATTGGGCCGACGCACCCTTATGCGCCGCATCAACGAAAGTCCAATTCTTATGAAGAGGACGCTCTCATATTAAAAGTTATCGAGGCTTACTGCACCTCGGCGCGTTGCAGAAACGCTGTAAGTTCAGGTGAGTATCTTTGAATTACTCGCGCTACCACGTGACACTGACTTGACATGGTCCAGTAGTACTTTTAAAGAGAATGTTAAACCAGCTACTGTTGCTTCAGCGGATTAATATCTTAATCTATGTAGAATCGTTTTTATTGTAAATATCGTGTCTCTCTTCAGTACTTAAATCCAGCCATAAAAAGTAAACCGATATCACTGTATATTAATATTTTTTTGCGAAAGTATAAACGTCATAGTTACGATAAGACGTTGTAGTAATTGAATGATGATTATGAGCAGGTCGCAGCTATTGACTAACACAGCGTATTTATTATGCAGTACCCAATATTCCGCTGGAGATATTCGAGTCGACAAGGAGGAGACATGCGAAGTCAAGAAACCGCATAATCAGTTGGTTCTTAGAATGAATGACAGATCTGTATTTACATGAAACCAAATTTTTCGCTAGTCATACAAGTAGCGCTTGAGTATAATATTTGTTCAAGTTTGCTGTTGTTGGTGTAATGACGATATATTTGTATTAAGTAAGCACTTCGTGTATCAGTATATTAATTTATTACAATACTCAGTGTCTCCGTATTTGTATCGGTATTAATGCAGGCACATACTTCTAAGTGCATGGGCAGCATGCTTTAATAACCTCTCGTTCACTATAATTAGCTCTCGTAGATCTGATATCGTAAGTATTAATTTATTCTCAAAGAAGATATGGTATTAAATTATAGTAATTCTATTTATTTGTAACTTTAGTTCGTATGAGTACAAAGTAGCTAGTCGTAGAGGTTACTTATTTATTTTATTTCCTTATCGACTATAGTCTCCAATATGCGATCTACAATAGTCAAATATTTTAGTATATTCTTCCTTACTGCCATTACCGAATGTATCTTGTCACTAACAATCGCAAGAATCTCTTCAAACTGCGCTTGATGTGTATAAACCACGGCCGGAGTACCTACCTAATCTAATAAGGACAATACGAAACTCATTCGTCTCTTGATCTGGTAGTCTGAATCTTTCTATTTTGTTACATGCGGCTGCCTTTATATCGCACCTGCAGTGGACTGCGGCCACTTATCTCTCGGTAAAGTACAATATCACGCACCCGCTACTAACATACCTCACTATAACTACACTAAACTTCCGACCGTCCAGCGAAGTAACACGCCCGAATATTCCGGCTGTAGTAAAACGACAAAAGTAAAACGTAACAAAAGCTCCTCTGCGGCGGACACATATTTGTATCGAGGCCCGGACACGAGGAGGCTGCTATCGGACCGAAAATTCGACATGAATCGCTCTAATCCCAATCTTTGGGAGTGTTCCGAGGAGCGGAGACAGAAGCTAATATGCGGCAGGGAGCGCCGCAGCGGCTCGCACCCGAGCCTGGCCGCGCCGCTCAGGGCTGTGCTCACCGTCCCCTCGCCTTCCACCACTTCCCGCTCCGCGCGCTCCTCTACTTGGTGTTGTGGCACCTTTGTCAAACAACTCACGAAATCTCATCATTTTGATTGACATAAGTAGATAAACTAGTTTAATGCTCAATTGTTGTTCCTACATATCAATCACCCCTTTCGCTGTTCGCTCGGATTACCTTCAGACTTTAACCATGTGTGTAATCTCGTGACAAGTGTGATCGTTGAAAATCTATTTCATTTTCAAATTTTACATTTAACCAAAGGTGATCCCATTGACTAATATTATAATTGTTTGTTTATATTTGAATAATTGCATCCTCATTTTCATAGTTGCTGATCATTATATTTGTGCATTAAATGTAATATAACAAAACGAGTTGCAAGCAGGGCGAATGTTCCTGTACACGGTACCACTATTCGCCTTGGTTTCAATCGAGTGCTGGTGCCATTGACGTAGGCTTAATATAACGGTCGAACAAGCGTTTTTATCAATATTTAAATAGATTTTTCATATACAATGCATGTGTGCAGTATTATTTAGTAATTAGAGAGAATAAAAAAGTTGCTTGTATATTTTATAAATATATTTTTGTGGTGCATTAAATATTTGTAGCATAATTTGCATGATTATGCTTAGCAACTAGTAGATTGTAAGGAATTAATATATTAAATGTCTACACTCTAAGACTATAATCATTAATTGGTAAATTCAGTGATGGAATGATGCCAAGTAAACATTTTTCTTCATAGTTGTTTGTATTTATGATTGGAATCCATTAAATGCCAAATGGTGCTTTTTATACGCAGGCGTCTATTAAGAGTAGGAGTCATTAAAATTGTCATTACTTTTTGAATTATATATTTAGTATCCACATTTGTGAATCTATTAAAAATGTTTGCTAAAATATTTCTATGAATCTGAAGTAAGATAGCAGCATCATTAATAATATTACTGATTTTGTTTAAAAACAGAAAACACTCAATACTACTTACTACTAAACTTTTCTTTTATGTGTTAACGATCTTTAGCAGGTTTTACGATAAAATGAACGAAAGAAATATTCTATTTAAAATGTAACAAAGTAATTATATTTGTTGTGGTGGCTAGGGCTAATAGAGACAAGTGAGGCGAGTTATTAGGTTGTGCGGCTGGCAATCACAGTGGGCAGCAGCGGGCGCCGCGTGCCGCGTGCCATTCATTTATTATTGAACAGGATAGCGCAATGCACTGCATGTTACATTTACATACGGACGTTACTGTTCCAGTGCCAACTGCAGCACTGCCTACGCTTTAACCTGTTTCATTGTGTCATTATCTAATGCAAAATGTATCTGCTTTTACGACTTTGGTCTAGAAAGTATAATCTCAAAAAACATTTTGTATGTCTCTAATTACTTTTTGGAAGTCAGTCTGTGCAAATTTGTTTGAAATTACTTGCATTACACATTTGCGTCACCAACAAATATATTACTTATAAGATTCTGATTCAGCGATGCGCTATTCCCACAGCCCATTAGCGAAAAGAGCTAAAAATAGTGGGGCTTGTCAAGCATATGCTGGCACTGATTAATTGAAGTGGAAACTGAAAATCTACCTTACGCTTTCCTACATATCCAGGTCGTGTACTGATTACAGATGAATTTTAATTAAATATTGTAACACGGATTTTAAGATCGTGTCGTACCTACTGAAATATATATTTATTTGAGGACTCTATATATGTAAATCTTTTATTTTCATGAAGTTTATTTATTGTTAATATTTAAAAGCACTAATTAAATAAGCAGTTTTTATGCAATGCATAGCGTTATTTTCTCCGAACGATAGTGACTTGAAGTTGAAGCTTGACATTGCACAGCTTTCACTATAAGGCGAGATCATTGACACGAAGTTATCGATTTATTGTTGGTCGCGCAAAATGTACAATGCCAGCTATGTGCCTAGGTAGCTGTTCTGAGCTGACTTCATTAAGTATACTCTTTGATGGCGGGTACATTAATGAATTACCCTTTGTATTTATTCAGCATGTAATTGGCAAACCAAAAATATGAGCTTTGTTTGTTGAACGGTGTCTGTTATTCTGTTATCGTTTCTCTTATACGTAATTATTAATTTGGAGCCATAGAAGAGGTCAATCACTTATGATGGTTGTACATTTTGTTAAGTTTTAAACAGCTATTAATCGATATCAGTATTTATGTTTCATAGAGAACTTTATAATATAAATGGTGTATCTTTACATAAAATATTTGTTTGTAGTATATTTTAACAACGTAGTTTGTAGTGTTATTTGTGTACCTATGTATTTAAACTATTATTACTAACAAATCGATGCCTTTTAAGAAGTGGATATAATCCATTAATTTCTTTTATTATATGTGTTGTGTTGTCAACCACTGTATCATATAAACGAAATACCTGTTTAATGGGATATATGTATGTTGTTATAATTAATAACGTTTAATATTATCGTATATGTATTCGTTGCTTTTGTGCCCATTATTCGAGGGAAATATCTAGCACACAATTTATTGATATTATTGAAAGTTTTACATTCTCAATGTTTGTGTAATCGTCATAAGAATTATATTGTACAACTTGTTCCTCGTCTAGTCTTAACGTTTCTCATATTCTTACCTTCAATGAAATATGTTGATTCCACTTTTTAAATTTCGGAAGCACTAGTGTAATTAATAATTACACATGGATGAGGTATAAGTTATTTGAAAATATTCATTTATTCTATATGTATAACGACTCTTATAATCTTTACATGTTAACGAAATTGTGTGGTACAATATTATATTTATTTTTTTATTGAACTGTAGTTTTCTATTAACATCTTGACAACATTTTACGTCGCCACACCTGAGGGTACAGTGCGAGTTTGCTTGATTTTAAAGCGATCGACACTTTTATGACTTAATATTCTGATTGACCTGCTCCAAGTTAACCAACCAATCTGAGTTCGAAACGAGTTAACGTGTCGATCGCATTAACACAAAGAAAACTTTCACTTGGCACTCAGACATGAACAAAAGGAATACGGTGTAGACAGTATTTTGATCAGCAAAATGATTAGATGCACTACTGACATGATCTGATAATGAGAATGCCTCGACTGACTTTAACTATAAATTAGCAAGCATGTAGAATATTAATTACTTGAGCAAAATTTGTACAAGGTGGGTATCAGGTTAAATATCCATCTGAAGCTAATTGTATTGTGTTGCGTTTTATACTTCCATAAAATTGTATTTTCAGAGTGCGACGACGAGAATCCGGCAATAGAGGCTTTGGTGAGGTCACCGTCGCTGCCGATACACTCTACATCGAGTCAGGGTTCGCCGAGCTTGTGGACAATAGTTATGCGGCTGCAGAATGAAGTAAAAACATTGAAAATGGAAGTAAAGAACTTACAGCTCCAGCTGAGTGAAGAAAAACACGACCGAACTCTTGCCATTGCTACTTTACAGTCTAGAAATATATTGATGGATGCAAAAGAGAGCAAATGCTAACGCTATGCTTTCCTTTCCTTTTAAGAAGTATTAAACTTTACTATATGACTTTAAGTGTGGTTTTATTTTATAATATTAAGTGAAGTTCTTGTGTACATAGAATGTTACGCTGAAATGTACAATTACCATAAAATAGTTCGAATAGCTATATGCTTACGTTAAAATACTCTAATAGGCAGTTAATTAGAATCCTATTAATAGAGAGCTTACTTACAGAAAATAAGAATTTTTCAATATTCTATTACACAGGACCTTTTTATTGGTACCGCTGAACAGTCAGTAACAGTCGATTAAATTTAGATACAACAATTGAGTGAATTCAGATATGATAGTAGGTAGGCGGCTTAAATGCCTAACTTACCCAGATTAAAAATAAATTGATTGTTATCCTACATGATGTAATCTGCAACGAAGGGATCCTATTCTAAACTATCCACGTAGGTTGTACCAGTGGCGGGTGACTCGGTTCAACGAGCGCTCATCGGGGTGGACACCCAACGTAGGCGTAAACCATGGCCATGTAGTAGTAGCCTGCGATATAAAACACCTACTCATAGACAGCGTTTCCGTTTCAGTTCACTGCATCCTCATAAATAAGCAGTTAATAATATCAAAGTAGGTACATTATAAGTACTACTTAGTTACCAAATAAGCAAAACTTTAGTAGCTACACTATTTTAGCTACCACTGTTATACCGTCAGTTAATTACCTAATTTTCGAAATTGAGAGAAGCCACAGCGAGAACACTGGCACGTTAATAATGAGCGGAGCGCCTGGAAAGCAAAGTACGAACGTGCCCGACATGAAATACATGATGCGGACCCCACACGGCAACGGTAAGCGAATACATCGAATGTCAAGCGTCCACCGCAATTACTTATGGGTCAGGTAAATAAAGGTCGGCGTAAATTAAATAGGTTTTTATTAAACATACTGTCTGGCTTTTGAACCCCACAAAAGGTTCCAGTATCGTAAAAGATTCGTGACAGGTAGGTATACTTACCAATGTAGTATTTTGCAGTATTTTAAGCACTAGTGAATAATATATTTCTTCATTTGAAAAATGATAACCTGCTCTATATTATTGAAATATTCTAGTCTTTTTATTCTAAAAGTGAATTTACTAACTCCAAATATACCTAGGTAATAAAGTACCTATGTAGGTTCTCGTCTTGTCTGCACGTCTCTTATAGGTAGCAAATAGATAAAAATTTTAACTTTATTCCATTTTTGCCTACACGTTTCGTAGGTAGGAAACAATGACCTCTACGGGCGTATCAGCCCACTTACCTACTAAGTGATTTTTAGATAAAAGACATCGAACCAATTAGTCGGCCATTCCTCTTAGCTGATAAAATGCCGGAATGTTTTTATTTCTTACACAGTACCTAAGTAATGGGAAAAAAGCGTCGCAAATGGCCATGACCAACAACAAACGTAATTTTTTATTTAGTTTTCAGCACCACCTTCGTACTTTTGCATAGCAATGTGTTCAAACACTTTGTTATTTTATGTACGTTCGTACGTACTCAGAATTTTTTTCTTTTTAAAAACTTTGCCCCACACTAGGATTTTCTCCTGTGTCGTGGGTGCGTTTACAAACATACAATTTCACATACACATGACACCCAGACCCGAAACAACAATTTGTGGATCACACAAAGTGTTGTTCCGTGCGGGAATCGAACCCGCGACACGTCGCACGGCAGCCAGATGCCCAGCCACCGCGCCAACCGTGCAGTCGAAATTAAAAGTTTTATGTTATAGTACATCACTTAAACCACCTATTTAGGTATTTCCCGACGTTAACTTAATCGCTAATGAATGAATGTGCAGGTAAGGTAGGTACCTACCATTGCTGTTCATTTTAATAAGTCATTGACAGTAGGTATAGGTACTTGTAATTAAAAGAAATGATATTTAAAACAACTCTAACTAATCTAACGTTAATAAGTTGGTGGGGATTAGATCGCGCTGTGTATATTCTAGGTAGATATTTTCCTTTTAGGTATGGCCATTTCATTTTTAATAGAAATTCCATTTCTTAAACCTACGTTGACTTTCTTCCAAGTAGACTTGTAGAAACCTAAATGACTGTTTATAAAAACTTAAAGTAGTCTCGCGCGGTTTCACCGCTGCTCTGCTCATACAGATCGTAACGTGAGGTTTTATAACCTACTAGGTTTTGCCCGCTACTCCGTTCGCGTGGAAAAGTGACTTTCTGCAGATTTTTGGTATTAAAACTATCCTATGTCCTTTCTCGAGTTCCAAACTACGTCTGTACCAAATTTCACAGAAATCGGTTCAGTAGGTAGTTTACCCGTGAAGAATAATAGTTTCGGAGATTAGCGCGTTCATACAAGCAAACAAACCCTTCAGCTTTATAATATTTGTATAGATATTTAGATAACCATTA